CAACTTTGGTCGAATTTGTTGTTGCGATACTAAACTTTCATGAGGACCTATTACCTCCCTAGACTATTTAATACCGTATTTTTTACCCCCTGAACTATTTAATAGTGTATTTTAAAGGTATATATGTGCCACGTGGACACATTACTATTTATAATTTTGCATTATTTTTTATGTCCACGTGGGCAAATATATATGTTTAAAATACGGTATTAAATAGTCTAGGGAGGTAATAGGTCCTCATGAAAGTTTAGTATCGCAACATCAAATCCGACCAAAGTTGGGGTTATTTTCAGACTCTTATCCCTTAGTTTTACATTGGTTTAGACAATTAAAATACATAATCTAATTTTAATTTTCTTTAATATTTAGTCATGTAACTAATACTTATTAAACTTAATTTTAGCATGATTTAGTACTTTTAAATTATGATCATTTTCATTACGACTTGTTAATTTGCAATATTTGTTTTACACAATTTCATATTATTATTATTTTGGGATATTTTAGTGTCATTAATCATATCATATTGTGTTATATTTTTAAGAAACATCTTAGATAGTTGTATTTTGGTAGGACTAAAGAAATATTTGAAGTACAAGTAAATTATATGTTGTGTATGAATACTTTATCGGAAAAACCCGAAACAACCCGAAAAACCGAAAAACCCGAAAAAACCCGAGGTTGAAAAACCCGAGTTTTATTGGTTTGGTTTGGTTCATAAATTTAAAAATCCGACACAAATGGTTTGGTTTGATATTTGAAAAACCCGAACCAACCCGGCCGTGTACACCCCTAGAAAAAGGTTATTCCTCCCAATAATTCTCAAATGGGAAGATAAAATAAGTGAATTGTAGTGAGGTCTAGCAGATAAAAAGTATTACATGATTCATCATTATATTAAACCTCAATATGAATAGAATTATCTAATAATAAGATTAATCATCATGTGTTTTAGGCTTGAGAGTAAGCCTGATCATTTATCAATAGCTTAATATACGGATACACATCTCATCATCATGTTGTTCATCCATATGATTCACATATTTCCTTCTAAAAAATGATGCAAGTATCTAGTTACATTTAACTCTACTTCTTACTCCTAAATCTACACCAAAACACACCTTCCAGCTCATATAATCTATATAAATGAAAATACTAGCTTGAGAGAATTAAACACAAAGAAAGCATAAAAAGTATGGAACTGTATCAAACAAATCCAACTAACAATGCTTTGAGATATTTCTCCATCATCAATAAAAATCATGTTTTGTATTCAAGTGACAATTGAATGGAAATTCATTAAACATGAAATTAAATTATTTCTTTACTATAAACTTTATAACAAATTAAAAAAGTTCTTTCAAACTCCATGAAGTTTCCACTAAAAATACATCTTATTAGGATGTAGTTATTGTAGGCTAATATTCATTGGTCGGGACACTTTGCCTTCCGTGAATAAATTAGCGGCAATTTACTTATTGCCTCTATATAATTGCCACTAAAATCCCTTCTTGTTGTAGTGAAAACATCAAAGATACAAACTTTTAGAAATCAAATGGAGAAAATACATAACAAGAGAACCCCACTTTCGGTAACTAAAGGAAAAAAACTGTATAAAGCAGTAAAGCAAATCAAGCATATATGCAAATTTGGATCAAGATACAAACTTTAACAACTCAATTCAGAAAAATAGAAAAATAGAAGAACCACTTTATGTAATTAAAGGAAAAAAACTGTATTAAATACATAAAGAATACAAACCTGCGACTCAATCGGATCATCAAGCAGTCCTTCAATAAAATCTTGAGTATTATAAAGAGCAATATCTTCGGTGTCACAATGGGCAGTACCAGATGTGCCCTACAAAAATATATAAATAGTTATTTTGAAATATTTATATTAGTTATTAATGTTTTCAGTTTATATTTAATTGTCAATGCTTACCGCCATATCAGGTATATAATCTCCAAATGACATATCTAATAAATTCATTGATGTCTGAACGGGCCAAATTGATGGATATGCAAATCATTGACCTCTACTCCCGCCTCTGCCTCTATGTCTGGAGGAATAAGTATACCACCGGCGCCACGTCCTAGAGCACGTCCTCGTGCTCTACCTCTATGCCCCCCACGTCCTCGTTCTCGTCCATCTACACGTCCATGTCTGGGTCCTCTGGCACGTACATGTTCAAACAAAGGATCTCCCTCAAAAAATGGCTCTCTAAATTGTATTCCGGCCTCAAGCAATGTATCCCGAACAATCTGAGATACCTCTTCACCATGTGAAGCTAAGGTTGTGTCTCTCTGCCACTGTAATGCAAGATTGTGCAACTTAAATAGTCCTCTAGACATCGCAATGCTAGTACCAGCGGAATGAACAAAGCCTGACGGTACATCAACCTCTAATGCAGGCTTACCAATAAGCAACCTTCCATACCACATGTACCACAATTTATACCCTGCCCCGCTAGTACCATCATCTACCTCAACCCGCTAAACTCTGATGTCGATTACCCCAATCACGAAAATATTTATCCAACATGTCAAGAACCTCCGATCCAAGCCTCATACGTTGATCATGCACGTGGTGGTTGGTTCCCCAACTAGGAATCGCAGGTACATGTTGGGGACAACCAAACTGACGCATCACTCTATCAGGTGCGTGCACTTCAACAATCTCTAGGCAAAGCATAGGAACACATGCCATCCATAAAGGCTCATCTACCGTACAACAACGAGGCAGTGTATGTAAAATCTCATTATACGATGTCCATCGAAACTATTTTTAAAATTATAACAATTAGATAAAATACAACATTAACCGCTTAGTATATAAATAAAATTATTATTGATTTACTTTTATATAATTTACTTTTATATGTAGTTTATATATATATATATATATATATATATTTTAAAACTAGTAAAGAGTTGCAAAAATTATTTGATGTACCTAATCCTTCGTCATGCGGTCTAGTTGATCTCTAATCGGGATAAGAACATGATCTGACTCAGTATCCCTATCAACTCCACGCATCCATCGCCTAGCATATGGAAGTAATACATCACCATCATGCGGC